GAAGTTGACTGCCCATCTGCTCAGCAGTCTTCTTCCACAACTCACTTGTGAAACGGACATCTCTGTCACTAACGATTGTCTTTGGTAAACCAAAGTCACGCACCCAGTTCTTCTGGAACAACTTGATGACATGGTCCGTCCTTGCGGTCTCTGGCATGGCAACTAGTCTAGCGTACTTGGTGAATCGATCAATGATGACGAAGATGTGCCTCTTGCCACTCTTGTTGGTCACCAGGGTATCTATGAAATCCATGGAAACACTCTGTCCTGGACCAGCGGGGATAGGTAAGGGCTTCAGCAACCCAAGCGGTGCTTGAGTTCGCGGCTTGTCCCGTTGACAGACCTGACAGGTCTCTACGTACTTCTTTGCGTCATCTAGCATTCCAGACCACCAAAATCGTTGAACTAGATTAACACTCGTCTTCTTGTAGCCAAAGTGTCCGGTTGCGTCATGGCATTCTCCTAGAAACAAACTACGCAAACGTTCACTAGATGGAACTACTAACTTTTTTATTCCGGCCTTATCAAGATAGAGAAGCCCGTCCACCATCACAAACTCACTTTCTGTGGCCTTGTCTTTTGCCTGAAGTTTGCGAATGATGTCCATCGTGACAGGGTCTTCCTGATAGGCTCCCACCAACGATTGAGTTACTTATTCAGATACACCAAAGTTAGAGACTAACGCATCTAGGTAGTCTGCCCTACGTGATAGCGCATCCGCAACCTTGTTGTACTCTCCTTTCAGATACTCAAGCTTGAAGTCATATTGGTCTATGACTTCAATCCATCGCTTGAGTGCGTCAGAAAGAGCCGGTTGAGTCTTGATCCATTTGAGGGTCTGATGATCAGTCCTCAAGTAGAAGAACCTTCCCAATAGGAAATGTCTCCAATGGACAAGTGCTTTGTAGAGAGCATAGAGTTCCCTTTCATAGGTGGACTTCGCCAGTTTCTTCGAGGGCATCTTCTTGCTCATGTACTCAATCGGTCTCAACTTTTTCCCATCCTGTTGAGCCAGCACTGCGCCAATGCCGTATTGGCTTGCGTCAGTGGTCGCTATGAATGGCTTCTGAGGATCGGGAACCATGAGAACCTCATGATTCATGAGTGCATGCTTCAATCGCTTGAAAGCACCCTCGCACTCATCACTCCAGTCCCATGGCGTGTCAAGTCGAGTTAGATCTGTCAAAGGAGAGGCGACTGTAGAATAGTTCTTTACAAAGTTCCTATGGTAGTGCGTCTGAACTCACACTTCTCTAGGTTGACCTTATACTTGTGCTGTCGCAGGAGTGAAAGTACAGTCTCAACGTGCTGTGCATGCTCCTCGGCAGACTTACTAAAGATCAGAATGTCGTCAAGGTAAACCACGACAAACTTATCTAAATGGTCATGGAAGATCTGATTCATAGAGTGCTGGAATGTTCCCGACGCATTGCAAAGACCAAAGGGCATCACTACAAACTCATACAGACCATATCGAGTCTGAAAAGCTGTCTTGTATTGGTCCTCAGGTCTTATAGCGATCTGATGATAGCCGGATTTCAAGTCTATCTTGTTATAGTACTTGCATCCCTGCACCCTATCCAGTAGGTTGTCTATGCGAGGTAGAGGCTCTGCGTTCTTCACTGTGATGGCATTGAGGCCTCTATAGTCAATGCACATCCTCAATGTACCCCCCTTCTTTGGTACAAATAGTACTGGAGATCCCTAAGGGGAAGTACTAGGCCTGATCCATCCCTTCTCTGTCAGCTCTTTGAGTTGTCGCCGAAGTTCATCTAACTCGGCGGGAGCCATCCTATAGATCCTTCCCTTTGGGGTTTTACTCCCTGGAATGATTTCTATAGCGTGGACAACTTCCCTTTCTACAACTCCTGTAGGCTCTTCGAACAGATCAGGGAACTTAGCAACGACGCGTTCTATCTCTGGGGGTGTTTTAACGGCCTCCCCTTTCTCAGAGACATACACAAGGTACACACCCTCCTCTTGGTTCTGTTTGTAATAGTTGTAGAACGCTGATGCGCACAAGCAGCCATAGGTATCTATTATGCTACTGGCTTTAAACTTAGTCAATCTGACTGTCCTGCCATCGGGCAACTTATGCTTTAGCACCTTCTTATCCCAGTCGAACTGGGGCTTAGCAACCTCAAGGTAGTACATGCCTAACGACATGTGGAATGGTAAGTCGTCGCTGACCAAGAACGGAATCTTATGATTAAGTTCTCCTCCTCCATAGGAAAAGGTACAAACTACGTCCTTGATATAGTCTGTGACTATCATGCGCTCCTTGTTGGCCAAAGTTGATGCTACAGGTCTACTAAGGTGTCGTACCCGGTCCTGTAGGTGCAACCTTTCCAAWTAGTCGCGACTTATGTAATTCCGCGTGGAGCCTATGTCTATGAAGGCACCACATTTGCGGCCTCCTACATCGACTTCCACCACGAAATGTTCCCCTCTAGGACCTTTCCTTAGCGCCACCCAAGATTCGCGAGGGTCCTTGTTTGACCACTCACTTTCCAGATCTTCTAAGGCTTCAGACACATCTAACGTACAGAGCATAGTTTGGTCTAGATGAGTCTGCGGGGTGACTGAAGAGTCATTAGCTATGGCCTGCTCATGAAGTGGGGAGGGTATCAAGCCCACTTCACCATGAGTAGAAGCAGCTAAAACTTCCACCGGCCTCACATGTTTCCCGAGCTAGAAGCCTGGGAAGAAGATGCCCCCATCTTAGGAGGTATCTTCTGCGTGACCTTTGCGTTCTGGCACTTGTACTGGGTGTGTCTGTACTCACCACAGTTTATACAAGCGCCACGCACTCGGCGGTCCCGCCACACGTCTTGCTCTAGACCTGCCTTGACCCAATCAGCCACTTTGGTCTGATTGGAGGCGGCCTTCCCTTGACTCTTTGGTTGGCCCTTCACTCGGCCACCAGCCTTAGCCTTGACTACTACGGCGAGGGTGCTGCCCTCAGCGGTCTCCTCGCCGTCGTACTCTGAAACGTCCAGCAGGTCCGTGAGCTCATCGATCTCTGTTTGAGTCAACCATCATCAACTTCGCCCCTTTCTTCTTCCATTCCTGCGGACTCTTATTCTTCCTCGCATCATTCTGAGATGGTTGAGCATTTCCTAGTGTAGCCTCTAAGTCTAAGGCTTTCCTAGACAATGTCTCAAACGAATGGTACTCGAGGTGAGCCTCGCTGGCCAGCAAGTTCGTGAGGTTCTCTGGAAGACATCTAACAAACATAGTCAACAGGAACTGGTCACTGTAGTTGATGCCTGGAACGACGATAAGGCTCTCAATGGTAGTCGTAAGCTCTCTGGCTGACTTAAACTTTCTTTGATTTAGTCTGTTTATCGCATCAGTGGCTATTTGTGTCTGCTGAGGATTGTGCCAGCGAGCTTCTACCATCTCAAAAACTGGTCTAACGTAATAGACTGAGCCCAGTCCGCCATACGTCGTCCATACCCGACCTTTGCAACTATACCATCTAGCCATTTGGCTGCCTTACCTTCGAGGTAAGATGCAACAGTAACCACTTCGTCCTCTGGCAAGGTCCTCTTCGCCTTCACCCAAACCGAAACTGTTCTCAACCAAGTGTTGAGTTCTTCGTCCTTCCTCTCGCCTGAGAAGGCAAGAGGCGGTTTCATTGGGGTCTTAGGGTACCATTGACCTTGCTGCTATCCCTGTTGAGGGGCAGGTTGTTGCGATGGTGTAGCACCCACCGCTGGACCCGAAGAAGAAGAAGCAACAGTCTGTGCAGCTGCTGCAGACGTGGCACTTGGTTGTGTGTCAGCTTGAACTGGAAAGGGGCCAGACATTGCCGTTAACGGCAACGGCGACTGTGCTGGTGGCCTGTATCCTGGCCTTTGCAAAGGTCCAAGATCTGGTCTAGAGTGCTCTGCATAAAGTCCAATCTGCTGTCCACATGCGCATGCAGCGACAACATGTTGTTCTTCAATGTCTTCATTGCGTCAAATAGTCCTGACTCATCTAAGCCCTTTAACTCAGCTTTGTCTGCCTCTAACATTTCAAGCCTGGCAGTTCTATTTTTGATCTCTCTTTCTCTATCGGTTGCTTGCTTCAGTTCCCTCTCTAATTGTTCACGGATCCTTTCGACCTGTTGGAGCTCTTTGAGCTACCTTTCGCGAGGAGTCAACGGACTGAACTGTGAGCCCGCCATTTGACTTGTAGACTGTCGAGATCCTGCTGAACTGGAAGTACTCGTGGACCCTGTGGGCATTCCCAACATGGTCCCATTGGTCCCAGACAAGGACTCAACTGAGGATGCTGCTGCAGAAGACATGGCTACTGCTCTGGCTGCTGCTGCAGCCTGTTCCCTAGCTGCGGCGTTCGCTGTTTCCCTAGCTGCTGCTAGTGCACGGGCTCTGCGTTCGGCACGAAGCCGTCTTTCTTCTCCCTGTTCTAGGGCCTGGAACACGTGCGGGATCCTACGTGATCCCGAACGTGTCAGTCTTGCATCGTCAACTCTCTCCTCATCGACGTCTGACCCATTCATGAATTAGGCAAACATTATCTGCACTAGAACCCCCTAGTGAAGTCCTACCACAGCATGTGTCTGACTGGCACCTAATTTTCTAAAAGTAGTTGTGTTCGGCAGGTCCCCTACTTTACCGATCAAATGGCAGCCTACAACATTCACAACAGATTGTCAACATAGTCTAGGTGTACTTTGATTAGTTCACTTACAGCAGCATTAGATAGAACTGGCTATGGTAGTCTACAACAGTCCTACTCTAATATGTCTGTGAGGTATTAGCAGCTGTCAACCAACTAATCAAAATAAACAAAGACCATGTTGCAGATGTATGATGAGTGGGTATGGTTGTGCATCCAGTTGAGCATCAATTAGAATCTACCCTTCCCCTCAATCCAACATGCCGGTAAGCATCATTGAGCAGCGGTGTCTTTCGTGTGTTTGTCGGCCCACCCCTGTGCCCAAGTCATTGCCGAGCAAGCCAGCCAGTCCACTCTTATTTACCCTCGTACGGAACGAGCCTTACACCTGGTTGATCTGGCTGATCAGGAGGAATATTAAGAGCGCCCCCATCTCTTCAGGAATTATGTAACGTCGCAGTCAGGACGACGATCACAGCCAGAATCAACCAAGTCCCCAACCAGAAATGTTTATAGACGGTCTGGTAAGCGTCTCATAAAAGGCTGGCACACCCGGCAGGACTTCTATTCAGCGCAGCAAGTGCCAAAATGGACAGCAGCCATCGCATGCGTGACCTACTCCCATTGGGTTGGCATGGTGACCGTGACCCAGTGCTTCGACCAGGGCCCTTCAGAGGCACTGCCCTTTCTCCTTCCAGATGCTTCCGGGAAGATTGTCGCCTCTCAAGGTAGTGCGCTCGACTCTCAAGTTGGACTCACTTCCTCACGGTAAGAAGAGATTGGGAGAGTAGATAACGTAAGGGAACAACGTACCTGGAGATAGCTGCCCCCAACCACAGATTTCTCACCAATTGAGCTGAGTGTGCATTTGATGACCGGTCTTGGCCTCGGTACCACCCACAACGCAATGCAGTGCCACCTCAGCCGAATGCCACATCAGCATGCTCTCATCACCAATCATACATTCCGCTTGTCACCACGGCATAATGCCGTCTTAGCCTTCCGGCGCACACCTCTCTACCCAGGCTGTGCACCTAATCATGGCCTGACGT